GGAAAAAGTAGTACAGGACTTTTTTTACTTGATTTGGTCTCAGGAATATGCTGTTGCAATAGTGCTCCAATTATTGAAAATGTTTCAATAATTGGAGCACCCAGAAAGGGAAAATCACCACACAGTTCCGACTTCCGACTAACCGCTCCTTGCAGACCGGGCCTTAGACATACCGTGTTGTTCGGGACAGTATTGACTGTCAACATTATTTTTAGTTCGGGCAGTATCAGATCGAGGGAAAACGGGTGAACGACCCGACGTTGTGGCACCAGGGTGAGTCACATTGTGTTTACATCGGAGGCGGAAGGCCGAGACGAAACTCTCGCCTTGGCGAGCCGAAATTACCTCCTTCTTCACGCGCTTGATGTGAAGGTACACAGCGTTGCCGGTGTTCTCGTAGTACCGGGCGACGTGCTCCCGCCCGAGGCCCAGGAAGGTGGCGAGGCTGACGTAGAGGCCGGTGGCCGTGTCCTTGGGCAGAAAAGGGGACATTTGTCAGCGGATAACGATCGCGCGGTGTCTCGCTGGTGGGTGTCGTCGGCGACGACGGGGGGGACGAGGGGGACGGGGGATAATCTTACTGGCGTGTCGAAGGAGTAAACGCACTCGTCCTTGTATATCCTGTCGCCGGCGCGCGGCACGTTGATCCTGTCCAGGTGTTTCGTCAGCTCCGTCAACTCCATGGCGAAAAGAGGCGGCTCGCCGGCACTTTGTCTCGCCCGATCGCTTCCTCGCTGTCTCTCTCTCCTTCTCCTCGACGGGAGTGACGGGCCAAACTCCTGCTCGCCTCCCCGCTGGCCTCGCGCGGCAAAAGCGCGAAGTTGCCGGAGACCAGGCCTGCCAATCGCCGCTCGCGGAGGTCGCTCGTGGCACTCGTGACCACGTGACCGCTCAGCTGTCACAGTCATCGTCGTCGGGGAACACGCTGGGCCCTTGGTGTCCCGGCCGAGGATGCTTCTTGGGGATCGACGAGGCTCGACGCGCGTCCATCGACGCGACACGGTGAGCCGCGGCAGGTGACGTCCGCGACGTCGCGAGGGATCGGCGCGTAGCGGGGAAACGCGAGTCCACTAGGAGAAGATGTCGTTCCTCCGCGGCTCCGCCAACTACGTATGGTGCACCACCAGCGTGCTCGGCAAGGGCGCGACCGGCGCGGTGTTCCAGGGCGTCAACAAGAACAACGGCGAGCCGGTCGCGGTGAAGACGTTCAATCAGCTGAGCCACATGCGGCCGCACGACGTGCAGGTGCGGGAGTTCGAGGTGCTGAAGAAGGTCAAGCACGAGAACATCGTCAAGCTGCTGGCGATCGAGGAGGAGCAGGACGGCCGTGGCAAGGTGATCGTCATGGAGCTCTGCACCGGCGGCAGCCTCTTTAACATCCTCGACGACCCGGAGAACACGTACGGCCTCGCTGAGAGCGAGTTCCTGCTGGTGCTCGAGCACCTGTCGGCCGGCATGAAGCATCTGCGGGACAACAACCTGGTCCACCGCGACTTGAAGCCGGGTGAGAGATCCGCCGGACACTCTCGTGCCCGTTTCTGCCAACGCAGATCCATCCTGATCCTTGTTTAACTAAGTTTCCAATTCCAGCAACTAGAAAGAGATACAAAGTGAAGTTAAACCGAGCCCAAAGTATTCAAAGTTAGGCACCAACGTCGTTTAACTTTAAGCTTAGCTTAATAGGGAAAAAATTAAATATTAGAACAGAAAATGTTGGTTCAGGCAATGTGAATCGTCGATCGTACAAGCCAAAGTATTTATACTTTTTCTTCAGATTCATCTTAAACATTGTTTAACTAAGTTTCCATCTCTTTCCAATTCCAGCAACTAGAAAGAGATACAAAGTGAAGTTAAACCGAGCCCAAAGTATTCAAAGTTAGGCACCAACGTCGTTTAACTTTAAGCTTAGCTTAAGAGGGGGAAAATTAAATATTAGAACAGAAGATATCGGTTCAGGCAATGTGAATCGTCGATCGTACAAGCCAAAG